GTAGGTTGTGGTGATTTTCCTCTGGGTTCTTCCGTTGGGGACGGTGCCAAAGCGGAAAGGTGGGTACTGCTCCTGCGGCTTCTGAAACTGCAATGGGGAGCCCCGGGAAGTGGTGTCATGTGGGGTCTGTGTCCCTGCCATGTTCCCAGCATGTCCCCAGCATGTGTACCCTCCCCACAGCCAGCCCTCCATCCACCTACTCATGCCCAGCCAGCTGGCAGTGACACCTGGGGACTTCTCCCCACCCAAAAATCCTTATTATTTTTTCAGGGATCCCAGCCCAATTGTCAGGCCCACCTTCCTGTCACTTAGCCCCGACACGGTGTCGATGTACTGCTCCTGGATCATGAAGGCAGCCAGGTTGGCGGTGTAGCTGGCAAGGAAGATGACGGCGAAGAAGGCCCAGATGAGCACCATGATCTTGCTAGTGGTACCCTTGGGGTTCTCGATGGGCACTGAGTTGTTGAAGACCAGAGCCCACAGCAGCCACACTGACTTGCCAATAGTGAAGGAGGGACCTCCCGGCCCTGTGGGGACAGGTGACGGAGGGGACAGCCGTCAGCCTGGCTGGGGATGTGTGTTCCCCCCCAGCTCCTGCCTCCCCTACTCACTTTTGCCGCTGGTGAGGTTCTGGTTGTAGCCGACGGGGCTGAAATACTCGAACACGAAGACGGGGACGGCCACCACGACGGCCACCACAGTGAGGCACATCACGAACATCATGACCCACACAGCTGGGCTGTAGGGCTCTGCAAGGCGAGCAGGACCCCGTCAGCATGCCGGGACACCCCACGGCCCCCCCAGGGACCCCCAGGACCCCTCCCCAATGGATGGGGCTCATCGTCTTGAATATTGCCCCTCCTCGGAGAGGAGATGGGGTCTGGCAGCACCACAGCCGAGCAGATCCATAGGACATCAGGAGGGAAGGGGGATGCTGTGAGACAGGGGCATGCAGCCACACTTCCCTGCCTAAATAAATCAGGCTTTCATCAATAGGGAGATGCTAATGAGACATTGCCCATCTCCAGGGTCATTGGTGGGAGGGTTTCCCATGGGATCATGGGTTGTCCCCTGCAATGGCTCTGGCCATGGGATCGTGCCTGCACCAGGCGTGGGACCAGACCCCTGGCCCCACTCAGCCCCTGGGAGAGCCCCCCGGGAGCTGGGGG